CATGGTATTTTATGCAGATTCCATATTAAACATTGGGATATGCTCTTTCATAAAAATAAGTACTACGACTACCAACACAGTGAACATTTTTCAAGACAACCCAAACCATGTCAAGAACACTGACTATGCACTCACATAGTGTCTTTCCTATGTGCAAATTGCAGATCACGAAGCTCATGACCAGAGGAGAATGTGAAACGGGCTTGGCGGTGTCCATCCTGGGAGTGCAATGCAGAGAATACAGAAAGATTGACAATTTTAATATTCTTTCAGAAGAATTCATTCCATAAACAGAAAATACCTATTTTACTTGATTTTTATTTATATTTTTATCTAATTGCAAATGCAAACTCTTTCTAACAGGTGCACACTAGATATTTTATGATGTGAATCTCAGACTCCTAGAACTGTAGTCATGATCCACGGCTCATATGGCACCACACCTCTTAGTCATTATAGATACACATCACCCCTCCAATTATCCATTAATTTATAGGTGTTTACTGGGAAATTGATCACTACTAATATTTTGACATTAATGTAGGGCAAGACCCCTGAGTATATTTGAGAGCTTTCCAACATATTTTGCCACATTGATTATCTCTGTCAATAGATAGTCTTAGTTTTAGAAAACTGTACTAAACATGGTATTTCATGCACATGCCACGTTAAGCATTTGGGAATGGATGCTCTTTCACAAAAATAAGTACTATGCTTCTCAGGGGTGGAAAGATGGCTCAGTGGTTAAGAGCACTGCCTGTTCTTGTAGTAGACCCAAGTTCCAATCCCAGCACCCATATGACATCACCCTTAACTCCAATTCCTGGGGTTCCAACACCTCTTCTAACCTCCCCAGGAATTGCACTACCTGGGTGTACCTACCTACATGCAGGTAACACACGAATACACATTAAATAAAAATAATAAATTAATTAATTCAAAAAATAGGTAATACTCTCATCAATATAGTGAACATCTTCCAAAGCCGATGCAAACCAAGACAAAACACTGACTTGTGCTCACAGTGTTGGTCCTACGCAAAAACAGCAGATCATGATGCCCAAGACCGTTAAGAATGTGTAAATCACTGTGGCGGCGTCCACTCTGGGAGTACAAACAGAAGCCGTCGAAAGTGTCACATTCTGTTTACCTAATTATCAGGCCCTTCGCCTCTTACTCCTCATTAAATATGTATTACAGTGTCATGTTTTCTTCTCAAGGAACCAGTGGGCATACCTCAGACACTATCCAGACCTCTGGCCTGGAGTTTTAGTTGGCATGGATCCCTAGTCATTCTGTCTGAAAGACTTGTGTGTGAACCATATTATTATTATTAATTCATTTTTTAATTGGCAAATGTTTGTTTTTATACATTTTCGTCTAATCAATAAGGTAAACACTTCCTAAGATCTGTCACTAGGATCACAGGTGCACACTAGATATGTTATGATGTGAATCTCAGACTCCTAGACCTGTAATCATGATCCACGGCTCATACGCCACCACGCCTCTAGTGGTCATCATAGATACACATCAGCCCTCCAGTTCTCCATTAATTTGTAGGTATTTGCTGATCGATTGGTCACTAGTAATATTTAGGCATTAATTTATCACAAAAATCTAAGAAGAATGCCCCTGAGTACACTTGAGAGTGCGCTGAGATCTTTTGCCACACGGATTACCTCTTTCAATAGAATATTCTTAACTTTGGAAAACTATATTAAACATGGTATTTCATACACATGCCATTTTAACCATTTGGGTATGGATGCGCTTTCATAAAAGTAAGTAATATGCTTATGAATACAATGAACATCTTGTAAAGACGATGAACACTCACTCTGTAATCACACGGTGTCTATCTTATGCACAAATTGCAGATCACGAAGCTCATGACCAGAGGAGAATGTGAAATGAGCTTGGCGGTGTCCATCCTGGGAGTGCAATGCAGAGAATACAGAAAGATTGACATTCCGTTTAGTGATCACGACTTTGCCTGTTCACCTCACACCTTTTACTTCTCATCTGAGTGTGTATTTCATTCTGGTGTTTTCTATAAGAAACAAGCAATGGCTAGGACTCAGACCCTACCAAGAACTTTGGCCTGAAATTTTAGTTCATGTGGAATCTCAGTCATTCTCTCTGACAGAAGGACTGTGTCTGCCACACATTTTTATTCTTCTTACTGAGGAATTATTTGATGGATTGGAAAAGGACTCACCGAATTTGTTTCGATACAGTTTTGTCTAATTGCTAAGGTAAGCAATTCCTAACTTGTGTCACTAGAATCACAGGTAAACACTAGGTATTTTATGATGTGAATCTCAGACTCCTAGACCTGTAATCATGATCCACGGCTCATACGCCACCACGCCTCTAGTGGTCATCACAGATACACATCAGCCCTCCATTCTCCATTAATTTATACATGTTTACTGAGCAACTGATCACTAATCATATTGAGAAAATAATCACGAAAATCTAAAAACTAGGTCCGTGAGAACACTTCAGAGCTCTACTGAATATTTTGCCACCCCAAATACACCCTGCGTTACAAACTCTTAGTTTTGCAAAATTGTGTTTTTCCTGCACGTGCCATTACATCATTTGCCCACAGTTGCTCTTCCTAGATGATAAAAGTGATCTTCTCAGTATAGCAAAGATCCTCTAAAAGCAACACACACCAAGATGAGAACACGGACTGTGTACTCACACGGGGTCTATCCTATGCACAAACAGCGGGTCACAAAGCTCATGCCCTGGAAAAAATGTGTAAATCAGTGTGGCTGTATCCACTGGGGGAGTACAAAGCAGAAAACAGGACAGAAAGAGCCCATTCTGCTTAATTAATTACCATGCACTATTCTGCACCTGAGTATGTATTGCATTGTGATACTTTCTTCTCAAGAAAAGCCCTGGGCATGCCTGAGTCCCTGCCAAGACCTCTGGACTGGAGTTTATTTGACATGGCCTCCCTAGCCATTCTGTTCGAGGGATCTGTTGTGCATGGCATGCTCTATTATCATTTAACATTTGCTTAGTTGGCAAATGTCTTATCCAATTTGTTTTTATATGTTTTTTGTCTAATGGTTAAAATAAACTCTTCCTAACATCTGTCACTAGGATCACGGATAAACACTACATATTTCATGATGTGAATCTCAGACTCCTAGACCTGTAATCATGATCCACGGCTCATACGCCACCACGCCTCTAGTGGTCATCACAGATCCACATCAGCCCTCCACTCCCCATTAATTTATACAGGCTTACTGAGAAATTGGTCACCAGTTATAGTTAGACATTAACGTCTCACAAAAATTTTTTGCCACACAGATTATCTTTCAATAAAATACTATTAGTTTTGAAAAACTTTATTAAACATGGTATTTAATTCACATGCCATATGAACCATTTGTGTATGGAAGCTCTTTCATAAAGATAAGTAGTCCTCTTATCAATCCAGTGAACATCTTGTAAGACACACTGACTATGTACTCACATGGTATCTGTCCTATGTACAAAGAGCAGATCATGAAGCTCATGGCCAGAGGAGAATGTGAAATGAACTTGACAGTGTCCATCCTGGGAGTGCAATGCAGAGAATACAGAAAGATTGACATCTGTTCACTGATCATGACTATGCCTGTTCGCATCACACCTCTCTTCTTATCCCTCATCTAAGTGTGTATTTCATCGTGGAGTTTTCTTTATGAGAAACAGTCACTGCACAGGGCTCAGACCCTACCAAGACCTTTGGCTGTCATTTTAGCTCATATGACATCCTCAGCCATTTGTCTGAACGGCCTGTTGTGTCTGACAGATAAGATCAGTATTCTTGCTCTGCAATTATTTGCTTAAACAAAACACTCCTGACCCAATTTGCTTTTATTTTTATTTTTATTTATTTTTATTTTTTTGTCTTTGTGAGACAGGGTCTCCCTGTAGTCCCAGGTGTCCTGGAACTCACTATGTAGACCAGGCTGGACTCGAACTCACAAAGATCCGCCTGCCTCTACCTCCCAAGTGCTGGGATTAAAGGCGTGCGCCACCACGCCCGGCCTTATTTTTTTTTATCTAATTGTAAAAGTGAACTATTTCTCACATCTGTCACTATGATCACTAAGTGTACACTAGATATTTCATGATGTGAATCTCAGACTCCCAGACCTGTAAGTCATGATCCACGGCTCATACGCCACCACGCCTCTTGGTCATCATAGATCCACATCACTTCTCTGCTTATCCATTAATTTATACATCTGCCTGCTGACTAATTCATTGTCTGGCTAGTAACATTTAGAGGACCCTGAATGGCAAACAGCTAAGCCTGAAATCATTAAGTATACTTCGCAGCCATCCATAGGACCTGTCGTCACATTAAGTTTATCTCTTTTCTTACTGGGGTTTATTTTTACATTATCTACCTAATCAATCCTTTTACACGGCCTTTCTGTAAATCCCCTTCAGCCATTTTGGCTTTCTTTATACTTACATTAGTCTGTATGCTCCTGACATATGGACCTTGAGACCAGAAAAATTTCAAACACCACCTTGGAAGCATCCATTCTGAAAGAACGAAGCAGAACAAATTAAAAAATATATGTATTCAGTCCAATTATTTCTACATTTCTCCTTTATTTTCTTGGTTGTCAGTATGTGTTAAACTGTGCAGACATTTTTTTTTCTTAAATCCAGAAACACTGCACATGAACTTAACCTTCAGTAGGATCTGCAGTCAGTATTTTTACTGTAAGATGTCACTTTGGACCAAGTTTGTAACAATTTAACTTTGATTTTTAAATGATTCTAGACTATTTTGTACATATTGATAATATTTCTGCCATGTATTTATTTTTATAATTATTTGACAAATGCCAACATTGTCACTATTTACCTCTATATTTGTGCAATGATTTAGTGATCCCAGGAAGATAAATGAACGCAAACGTATACTTTTACTGTTTCAAACATCTGTCCCTCAAGACATGTTTTATGATATGGACCTGAGACCTCCAGACCTGTAGTTATAATCCATGACTCGTGCACCACCAGTGGTCATTATCAACCCAACATCAGTCCTCCAAGTCTCCATTAATATCTACATTTGTTTATTGACTTTATTATTTTATAATAATAATTTGATAGTCAGGACTCAGAAAAGCGTCCAAACAATACCCTTAAGAATATTTTAGGGCTATCTGAGTAATATTTTGCCACATTGAACCTTCTTATCTATCTTCATTTTCATATATAAACAACATGTTCCCAAGCCGTGTTGCACTGGCATGAAACCATGGTGGTCATTCTTGAATTATTTGTAATTTGCTTAGCAACAAGGAGCATCATTCAAAGCAATGCTAGAACTGCAGTATACTCATATTCGTGCCTGTGCACCTAAGACCCAAGCCTGGACCCCATGGTCAGGGACAAATGCTAACATCAGCTTGGGAGAATCCATGATACAAGGGCAGAACAAATTGTAGAAAGAAAATCATATTTTATCCAATTACCCTTGTGGTGCCCCTTTTATTTATCACATATCTAATTGTTTAATAAACTTTGATATTTTCTTCTGGAGGTAATAAACATGACACACGATTCTAACCCTAACAAGAATTTTGGTCATCATCTTGAACTGCACATACCATCCTCAAACAAGGGTACCTCTGGTTCATTTATTTCCAATGGACTTCTGAAGATTTGATATTAGTATTCCTTTATGGCGTCATTTTCATACTTGGAGTTACTTTACCTGTTTTATTTCATCTATTATATTTTTATCTAATTATAGAAATAGAAGAGAATTCAGGAACACCCTCCCTACTCATTTCTATTCCCCAGCAGCATACTAGCTGTGTTTCGGGGTGGACCTCAGACTCCCAGACCTGAACTCATGATCCATAGATCATACACATCAGTGGTCATCACTGGCTCAACACTGAACCTCTAATAAGTTTTACGTTACTTTATTGACCAATAATTCACTCCACTCATAGCATTTAGATAGCTGTTAATCACAAAAACCTAAGAACAAGATCCTGAAGTGTACTTTAATGCTACCTAATGGATCTTGTGCCACAATGAGTTTCTCGTTTGTCTTTTCTCATAATTTTGGAAATTTCAGTTACTCAGCAGTGTATAGAGGCATGCTGGATCCACCAGGCAGCCATAACCAGCCTCACTGGATTCTAGGCAAGCCTTGATTCTAGCTTATAAAAGCAAGACCACTTACATGAGCATCCGGACAGGGCAACCAGGGACATTGTGGCCAGAGAAGAAAGCACAAGTCAGCTTCTGAGCGTCCATTCTGAGAGGAAAAGGAGAACAGATTGTAAGAAGATTGATGTTCTGTCCAATTATTTCTACATTTTCCCTTTCATTAGTCAAATGCTTATGACAGTTTTCTTAGGAAATCAAATGACACTAAATATTCAGGCCCTGACTGACCCTTGCAAGGATATAAGCAATTAATTTCACTGCATATGTCACCTTGGAGAAAGGTTATAACGTCTTCAGGCCAATTACATCTCAGTGGACTTACAGGTTTTCTGTACTTATTAATAGCATTGCTTGTCAAATATTTATTTTCATAACTGGCGAATGCCTCATCCACTTTCTCTCCATTTGTTTGTATATTTACATAATGACATAGTGACCCAGCTATACAAATGGGCAAGAGAACATGACTAATGACCAGTAAGTGCTGTGTGCTCCTAACTTCTGTTCCCTGGATCACGAGGACACACTAGACATCTTGGGACCTGGGCTTCAGAATTTCAGGGCTGCAGTCATTGTCCTTGACTTACATGCCACCAATTGGCTCCACTAATGGTCACCGCTGGCTCTAGCAGACCGACTCCTTCGGGATGGATCCTATTGGTTTTGGACTAACTGTATGATTTGCCTTGGTTCAGACCCAACAAAACCCCAACACTGTCTTGTTTTCTCTTCCTCCCTGTTTCCATTGGTTTCCTGTCTTTCATTGATCCGTTAATAAAATAACACAAATTTATGAATATTTTTAATGGAGTGGGGGTTTGGCTTAGTAGCAGAGTATCTGACTGCTATATGAGGACAGGACTGAGTTCTCCAGAACTGGTGGGGAGGCAGGGCGGGGGGAAGAACACTACAATAAGAAACTAAGCCACCCTAATACCAATCTGTGGTTAATTTCTCAGAAGGAAGTGGACAGCTCCCTCTGCCCCCAGTGGAAGAATCAGTTTTGCAGATTTAGTGATTTTCCTTACAGAAACATACATCTCATCAGTCCAATATTTTTCATGGGTCAAGACTTTCATTTACTTTATTCATGTTTTAAAGATAGGACCACAACCACTGATACTATCTTGCATTTTGGACCAAAACAAAACTCTCTTTATAAGTAGATAAACTGTTATTTAAAATCATGTAATTATTTCTGGATACATAATTAACTGTGGCAATGCAACGGTCTTCTCCCCTTTCATTGTGCATGTGTGCATGTTCATTTTTGTGTGTGTATATATGTGTGTGTATATATATGTGTGTATATATATATATATATATATATATATATATATGCATGTATATGGTGGCCAGATGTCAAACTCAGGTACTAGTCCTCAGGAATTGTCTAGGTGTTGTATGCTTAGTTTAAATTTTTTATTTTTTGAGAATTTCACACTCGAGGACTATATTGCAACAGGGTCTCTCACCAGCCTGCAGCTTGCCAATGAGGGTCCCTGGGAATCAGCCTGTTTCTTCATTCTCCAATCTGAGTATAGCATCAAGCCTGGTTTTTTGTTTTGTTTTGTTCTGCTTGTTTTTACATTGATACTGGGGATTGAACTCATATCCTTCTGTCTATAAAGCAACTACTTTACCAACTGAGCCATCTCCCAGATCACTGATTTCTCCTTAACAACAGAAGTACTGGACTCCTCTCCACATGCCCTTTCTAATTCTGGTTTTGGTTATACCCCTCTCTTCCCTTTCGGTAATAGAGCTAACACCCAGTTAACCATGAGACCAGCAGTAACTTCTCTGCTGTGAGCACAGATCTCTGTATTCACGACTCGGAAAGATAACCACCCAAGCTCTCCTCACCGACAACGATGTTGTCACTGTGTCCATTCTGAAGAGCACAAAAAAAAGGCATATTAGATTGAAAATACATATACAGAGAACACAGTCTAGATTCAGATTTTTACAGCTGATTCCAGCTTAAGAAAAACTGATTAGGAATACTCTTGGTGCTTGCTCTATACTAAGCTCAATGGCATGGCACCGACAGATGGACAGATGTATTAAATTTACTATAACTGAACATCGGACCAATTCAGAAAAACCAGACCGAGTATGCGTCTGCCACCCTAGCCATCCCCCACCAGCCAGGGAAGGTCTTTTGTGTGAATTTTGGTAGAAAGCAGTGGATTCTGAGCCTTGTGTGTCTCAGTAACTGCCCTTGTGCGTCTTATATGGATGCAGCCATCTGAATGTACACAAAGCTGTTTATCCATTCATCCCTTCAACTTTAAGAAAAGTGCCACCAAGAAGCTAAAAACAGGAAACTCTAAATATACAAATATGGTCACTATTGTAACAATGTGAGAACCCAGGTTTATTTTCCTGATCTGCAGGACCGTGTGGAACTGGACTAATCACCCACTTATTTCCTAACACAAGGTCCTCACTGGTCTGTGTTTTGGCTTCCTTAATTGAATCATTAATATTGTTTTCCTACATTTATGATAGTCCCATTATAGCTGTGATTATACAGAAATGAGGTAACATTAATGCTGAATTGTATCATATGCCCAATAAACAGAGAAAAAAATTGGATTTTTATTATTTTTTAATTAAGAGAGGAACTAAACTGAAGAAGGGGGAGGAGAGACAGATTCATCGCAACTGCTCACCTGGGGCATATTGTCAGCCTAGACCCACAGTGAAGCCCTTCTTCATTACAATCTTGTTTAATCAATGATTATCTTAAATACTTTGCTCTTTCATTATATAAAAATAAAACTTAACTCAGAACAAAGACTCTAATACCTACTTATACAAATGTTCCTTGCCCCAAAGCATCGGCTTTGGTCAATACAGTACCAGAACTCAATGTTTTATGAATGTCTTAGTGATTCTTATTGCATTAAATACTTGCATATTTGGAGTAAGAATGACCCATTTTGTCTGTGCTCATTGATAGGTTTCTTGGTTGGTACATGTTCTGCTTTAGTAAACAGAAACCCAAGAGTATCACCCACGCTGTTTCCAACAGCTGGAATAAGCTCATATCATATACAGATAATAAATGGGATTTTTTTGGCAATGGCCCTCAGAGGTATTGAGCTTAATCAAAGTCCTCCATTCAGGCCCCAGGTACTCATCGATGATCCATAAGTAACCTTTGACTTCTTCCTTTTTTAATCAAAGACAGTTTTGTTTATTGATCCATCCATTGCCTTACTGGCAGCAACAAAATAAATATTCATGAGCTAAAAATAAATAGCCGTGAGCAAAAATATATATATGTAACCAAGATTTCCTCACAGGTTCTTTTCCCACAGGTAAAATCTTTCCCTGACCTCTTTTTCCAGGGGCCCTCAGCGAACACTGATGTACCCACTGTCATCCGTACCTCACGGCCATCCCATCTGTCCTTCCTCTTCCCATAAGTTCTGTGCTCACAGAAGAGCTGTACAATAACAGGTGGAGGAATAACGTGAACATGGTGCTAACTGCATTCCCCAACAAAGTCCCCCATAACCTCATGTAGCATTTAGTACTTGAAATGTGGCTATCGCAAATGTTAAACTGAGTTTAACATTTCATTTCACTGTAATTATTTTAAATATAAAGACCCACGTGTGAATGAGGGCAACCTTATTGGACATGCAGGCCTAGATTTTATTACTAGAGAAATTTTAAATAAATTTCAGTGCACAAATATGATAAATTATTGTGCAGATTCCAAAAATAAACACAATGTGAAAAGGGATTCATCATAATCTGTTTATAACACGTTCATATGATCATGGTCTGTAGATGGCTAACTGTAAATAATTCAACAAACACTAATTGACAGGATTCTTTGACTATCATTTACTCAGGAGATTTCTTACCCACAATGGCAGCAGCCAAAGTCTTCATCAGCAGAGAGTAATTAAATCAGTCATTGTCTTCATTCTGTAATAACAAATACCGACTTTTAAAAGAATAAGCCATGCAGATTTTTTAAAAGACATTAATTCAGGACTAGAGTGTTCATGAAGTCAGTTTAGTTCCTGCTTTAACCACTGACCCAAGTGTTTTATTTTGTTTATCTAACTATCAATTTTAAATAATAAAATGAGCAATTCATCACTCAGAACCAAGAACTACCATTATCACATATAATCGTCTATAGACCATGGGAGGCAAGAGCATAACTTTTAAATTTCAGAAACAGTCATTTCTGAAAAAGATGAATGAATTTGCATTGTGTATGTTTAGTTAGTGCGTGTTCATTAAAAAGCCAAAGGATTAAAAAAAAAAAAAACCTAGGATTTTTTTTAAGCGTGGGAAGGGCAAAAACATGGTCTCACTCTGTAGTCTAGGCATAGGCACACGCAGAAACTGTGCTCCCGCTTAACTTCCTGAGTGCTGGAATTATGGCCTGTACTGCCATGCCTGGCTAAATGCTTCCCTGTATTTTAATAAAATTCAAGGTTGAATTAATCATAATTCTTTCCATATGTGAACTGTGCTCATTCTTTGACCCAAAGAAATAGTTAATAAATTGACTATATAATTTTCATTTCTATAAATGTAAATTTTCCTTTTTCTAGTCATTAAACAATTAGCAAATAGCTACATATATCAAATTATGATGTTGGGTCTCATTTACATCTGTCACACATACCTCTGTCGCACTGGCAACAAGTGGATGTACATAAACATCACTAGGATTTAGCACTAGATGACTATACGAAAATAATCCATGCTATCCTTGATAAGGAGCTATACCAAACTCTCTTCATAGTAGCCTATTTATACATTGCATGCTCTGATAATTACTGATAAAAATTCAGTCTAAGGCTGGTGGCACACATCTTTACTTCCAGCACTCCATGAGATCAAGGTCTGGTCTATATAGCAAGTTCACGCCAGCCAGGGCTACATAGCGAGATCCTGTCTCATAAGATAAAAAATTTGGTCTATACTCATAAACTGTGAGCACTCTGGGTCAAAATACATGAATAGTCTGAATACCTGCTCTAAGCTCAATGTCTTAAAAGAAAGGGGAGCCCACTTTTAAAACATGAACCTCACAATTCTGGACAGCTTCAATGAAAATTTTTGATTCAGACACCATCCAGTCTCATCACTGGTCCAGACTTGTTCTTTCTCTCCATGCCATTCACCTTCAATTTCCCCACGAATCACAAATTCTAAGGAACGAACCCTGCGGTATGGCTGCAGGTGTGCACATGCACGGTCAGTATCAATGATCCATGACTGAGCCAAGCTCATTGAACGTGTCTTATTGGGAAGAGGTAACACGGACATATACCCGAAGGTGGTATCCCACATCTATAAAACAAACAATGCATTGCCTTTTAAGTGTTTCCCCAGCCTGGATCTCTGCAAACATGAAAATGCTTAAATCAACTGTAGTGCAGAAATAATACAGAAAACTAGAAGCTAATTAAACTCTTTCAAAATGCACCTCAGGTTTTACTAAGGCAGGTTCACCCTACTCCTTGGCCCATTTCACCTTCCTACTAGGGGTCCACCGTGTTCTTGTGCGTTTGGAACTTCAGTAAGCACACATGAACAAGGAGAGAACAAATCTCAAATTGTTACCAACACCGATCATTAAGTAACGACCAAGATCTTCATCAGGGAAGAGTCCAAATCCAATGCTCCTGCTCATCCTGGAGGAGAAGGTAGACTGCCAATAGAATGGAAAGTGTAAATTTTTAATAGACTTTTAAGTAGAAGTTAGTTCAGCATTATTCAATTAACATAGATGCTGATTTCTGTCATTCCAAAATATGTATTTTCATATATAAACTAAAATGATAACCTGTCACCCAACAAAAAAACACGATGACCAATATCTATGTAGATTAACATCTATATAGATTAATATCTATGTAGATTAATACCTATCAAGCTAGGTATTAGCAAGCTAGCTATCTAGATGCCCCTATTAACTAATACAAAGGCTAGATAACTTTTAGAGGGAAAACTTTTGCAAAATAGGACAATTCATGTTTTATTAACAACCTACTCAATGGACCACACTCTGATTTAATTCATGTCTTTACAGACATTAAATAATTCTAAGAATTGTGTAATCTGTTATCTTATTCTAAAGAGAACACAAAATGGTCACATGCCCTTTTACCTAAAACAACTGTCACCTGCCACTGTGTACGCTGCTTGCCTCCCCCAGCAGGATTTGCTGTGCTGATATACACCTTACCAGGCAGCTACTCAATGGGGCAGTCACTAGCCATGTGTGGCTTGGAATGTAACTAGTATGACTGAGAAACTTAATTATCCTTTTTTAAATAATTTGAATTTGAATTTAAGTGTTAATCACAAGATGTGACTAAACACTGAGGTCTACATAACTCGGGTGGTTGGCTCTGTTTCGGTGGAATCCAGGAAGGTAGACAACATTAATGATGTCACTCCGTATGCTACACATAATTCTTACTAGTCTACACTTTTCCATGGTATTTGTTTGTTTATTTATGTTCCAGTTTATTTATTTATTTTTAAATCAGTATTCACCAATTAAGCGTGCGGGGAGCGGGGTCCTTGAAGACACAAATACACCTCAGCTTACACCCCACTGAGCTACCCCAGCCTTCTACTGTGAGCTTCACCATGACAAACATGAATTAAACCAGTTCTGCGTGCCACACCAATTCACTACCACTCACTGGACTGTGTTGGGGCTTCTTTTAACACCTGTATTTTAAACGTAGTCGAATGGACTACCATCTACACGAAGTCTCAGAGAAAATCAGATTCTCTACTTCGTTATGTCCTCCAATCCATGAATTAAATGGGAAGTTTTCTTTCATTAGGACCCACATGGACAACTACATGCTAAAAAGTTTCGGAAATGGCTGAATTGTGACCACCTCTTTGTCCTGAGGAATTTGGTCATGCTAAATTGAAGCAATCATAATTACTGACTCATAAAACTTTCCTGTGATTGGTGAGCACATGATCACTTTGGAACCTGTTCCTTTGGACTCATTCTGTAGGTGTGATGGATCCCCTCTCTCAGCAAGAATCTGACCTGTGATTCACATTTACATCAGGGTTTTCCTTCCTTATCCAGAGAGAAAATGGAAAAATCATCTTGAGAAGGTAGCAATGAAACTAGATAGACTGTGCTAATTATGGGGAGTAAAAAATCAAAATATTCAAACAAATTAGAGTCATTTAGATATTGAGGATGAACCATAGTTGGTGATTTTCAATCATCCACAGGCATTGGTTTGCACTCTGGCCTGAACATTTGGGAAAGCAGCAGTACTTTATATTTATTCATCTCTGGGATTTAGAAGTGAGAACAACGCTTTATATTTATGAACTTGCAAAACATTTTTCTTTTAAATAATATCATGAACACCACTGAACCTAGCAGGAAAAACAAGAAAAATAACTATAATTACTAGGAACATCTGGTGTATTTGTTACTGATGTACGTAAGTAAGGGTAAGGTCATCTTTTTGTTTGGACTTTGTAAAAACTGGATATGTGAGAGATTTAATGTATATTAATGCTATATCCCCAATGGACCAAGCTTGACTCTCCTTAATATGGGTGTTCACATGTGTGTACAGAAACACATGCATGTAGGTGTATGTGCACATGCATGCATGTAAAGGACAGAGTACAACATTGGGTGTCATTTCCGGACAGCCACCCATCTTGGTTCTTGAGACAAGGTCTCCTGTTGGTTGGAAGCTTGTAAAGTAGGGTAGGATGGCTGGCCAGTGAGTCACAGCAATCCCAGGACTGGGATCACAAGTGCACATCAGCACAGTTTGTTGCTTTTTTGCTTTGTTGGGTTTGTTTTGCTTTTTAAACATGGGGTCTGGGGATTGAACTTGGTTCCTCATGTTTTTAAGGAAAGCACCATCAACTGAGCTGTCTCCTAGCCCCAAGTTTCAACTCACTCACTAACTAATGTGTGTAATTACTCATGAGTTAATATTTCTGGCGGATTTTAAGTTTTGAGACATCAAAACAGCACTGAAAGACTAATAAGGCAAATGCCTTTATGTGCCTCTGGAAAGATCTAGAAATCTCTACCTTCCTGCAGGTTGCAGTTGTGGATAATACAATACTCAAGATCTTTGCACTGGATCACATGCTTCCCACTGGTGCATCGGCTGCGGACTTTAAAACAGAATTAGTTGAGATGTAAATCCAGGAATTTGTTCACTTGCAATTATCCTGCAATAGACGTGAACCCACAAAAACTGGGTGAGCACCGGGAGTCAAATTTATGGTTTTTCCTCAAGTCATTACTCAAGACTAGTACAGTGATTCAATCAAACATTTGTTTGTGTAAATAAAATTGTATAGAAAGGTTACATTAATCACATGTGCTTGCATTGCTGTTCCATGCATGAATACTCTCTGTCTTCAATCACTACTTATGGAAATGTATTTCTTTTCCCTTGGCGCCATAATCAATGGGCAACCTGCCTCGCTGTTCAGTCGTACAGTCCCCAAGAGTACAAGAAAACCTGACTAAGAGTCTCAAATAAAAACAACGATGTTGGGCCAGGCGTGGTGGCGCACGCCTTTAATCCCAGCACTCAGGAGGCAGAGGCAGGTGGATCTCTGTGAGTTCAAGGCTAGCATGGTCTACATAGTGAGTTCCAGGATGCTGGGGCTACAGGGAGACCCGTCTCAAAAAGACCGACCCCCCCAAAAAAACAATGTTGTGTTTTATACTTTAGAAAGTACATGTGTTCATTTCTTTTTCTCTCTCTCTCTCGTTTTTTTGTTTGTTTTCTCTTCTGAGTGGATCTTTTCTGCGTTTATTGATTTATTGATTATATGTAGTGGGGGGCAGGATATGTGCACTATGGCACATGTGTAGAGGTCAGAGGACAACATGTAGGAGTCAGGTCTCTCCTTACATAATGTGGGTTTCAGAAATCACATGCAGGTTGTTGGGCTTGGAGGCAAAATGCCTTTACATGCATAGCCATCTCTGCTTTTTGTTTGTTTTTTCTTTTCCTTTTTTGAGATAAGGTCTCATGTAGCCTCGGCTAGCCTTAGGTTCCTGAGTTCTGCCTCACCCTCTCAAGTGCTGGGACTACAGGCATGTGCCAACCTGCCTAGTCTTAGCTTTCTTATTTTTCCTTCATTGATACCGTCTTTACTCATGGCTAATTGTTACAGTAATTTGAGTTGTACCACAAAACCACAAAGAACCAGTTTCTGTGGGCTCTTCTCTGTAGAATTCAAGTACCACTTTGCAGAAGACCTCAGAGTTACACAAGGGTTTAATCATTGTCCTCGTTCAGAAACCCCATGCCATTCATCATTGGTCCATGCTTGGCAGTTGCTTAATTTATTGATTAATTGACCAATTCACAAGTAACAGTACAAAAATCCCCAAAACAAGATCTTTGGGTTTTAGGCTCTGGTCCCATTGGGCTATTCAGATCACATTACTTCTATAAGGGTACTCAAAGGTACACATATGGATCCTTCAACATCCCTGTTGAAATCAAACTGACATCTAGTTTTCGTGGGGTCCTTTTATTTAATTCATCCATATGCCAAATATGGTTCAAAAAAACTAGCGAAGCTACTATCTTGCACCTCTAAAGTACTCAAACGCACCCATGTTTGTACGGACCACGGCAAAAGCTATTCACCAAGATCTCTACTTGTGGGAATACTGAGCTCAAGTGCAGCGTAAAATAAAGAATACTAGGAAAGGTTCGGAGGGGTTCTGAGGGCAGGTTAAACAACCTCTCCACTCTTTTAAAATCATTTCAGTTGTATTATTAGGATTAAACACGATGTGTGAATCATGATCAACTCCCATTATTGGTCCATACCTGGAGAATTTGTCTGTTTTAGGTATGCAGTCTTTGAACAATGTGAAACTCCATTAGCTGGCACCCATGAGCAAAAAATCCAAACAGAGCTCACAGACCAAGGGACTTACCTTTACTCTATCTGTGCTCCTTCCTCAGGACATGAGTCCTTATTAAACGATTAAATCAGTTGTCCTATGCTCACCACAGGAGAGAAGAGAAAATGTAGAATAGATTTAGATTTTTTAATGACCTGGTCAAGCAGAATTACATAATAATAAACTTTAGACCACAAATGCAATTCTTATTAGCTCCGTATTGAACTAATAATATTGGTCTGGTTTCATAATAGTAAAAACCAAGCTGATAATGTACATAGCTTCTGAGGTTCTAACCTCAAAATAGTGTACAAAAATAAATTAATCTCCCTTAAGAGCCCAAGGACAGAGTGTCATGAGCTCATTTCCAGAAGAAAGAATAGTTGTGTGTTTTTTATAAAGGACCTCAGAGATACATGGTGTAATCAAAATATCCTGGTTCAGATACCCCATGGTACTCATCAGTGGCCCAAACATGTCTTCCTTCATCTGTATCTTCCTTCACTAACCAATTCAGTAATTCACAGAAAATAATATAATCATAACACTCCAGGGATAAGATCTCCATGGAGTAGATCTCCTTGAATGTTGGACCTCAGGGAACTGGTGCGGCCAATCAGCAACCAGGGCTTGTGTCAGTCTGCCTTGGTGGCCGCCCCTGTAGGCTCTTTTGAGCAATGTTTGAAGATGCCCCAATGGAAGGTGACAGGTCACCATCGACCCCACTGACGATTTCTTTCCTATCAGCCAGGGCCACACAGATAGGGAAATGTTTAAATCGTGTGTGGTACAAAACAAGATGCAACAGTAACCAGTTCTGAAAATAAATGAAGCAACTATTTCCATTTTTAAAATCGCTGCCTTTATGCCAGATTAGATGGAATATAACTTTGGGTTCCTAGTTCATTCCCATCACTGGTCCATTCCTGGAGATTCTTCTGTTATGCCCATAGATCCCTTTGAACTACAACTAAATAGACTCTAAAGCCTCCCAAACCAAGCCCCGAGCTTGAGGTCTCACTTACATTATTTTGTTTCTTAGAAAAGTTGAGTAAATCAGTCATGCTGTGGCCATTCTGTGGAAGAAACATAGACTTAGCCAGAGGTAGATGTTTAAATGGATACTAATTATGGTCTTTTTAATTAATTATGTTTCCTATTTACTTTTAAATAACTTAACAGACCCTATTGCATCTACCACCTAGGAACATTTATCACCATTAAAATTATATGTTACATAAATACCCCATCCATGCAGGTAGTGTTCTGTCAGTATTAGATATATACACATACTTACTTCATAGAGCATTTTCTCATTTAGCTCAAGATTTACCTGGATGCATGGACTCTGCAATACATATTTAAATTATTATGTATGCTCTATGATCCTTGTTCACCAAAGCCAGAGCCAAGGCAGTTAGCGATTGATAAGTGGTATTTGATATACGCAAAAGGGAAAAGAAAAATTAAAAACACAAGGAAGGGTGGGTGTGAAAATGCACACCTGTAATTTCAGCACTCAGGAGGCAGAGACAGGAGGATCTCTGGATTTCAGGTCAACCTGCACTATATAGCAAGTAAGTTCCAGGCCACCTAGGGCTACATGGTGAGACCCTATCAAAAAAAAAAAAAAAAAAAAAAAAAAAAAAAAAAAAAAAAAAAAATTTTAGAAAAGAAAAGAGAAATCGCTTACTGGTTAAGAGGACATTATGTATGCTGCTCTTGCAGAGGGCCCAAGTTCCTAGCACCCATTTTAGGTGGCTGACAACTTCCTGTGACTCCAGCTACAGGGGATTTGACTCCCTCTGGAACCTCTGCAGGCCATTACACTCATGTGCACATATCCCCACACAGACACACATGTATCCACATAATTAAAAATAAAATGAATATTAAAACTATGGAAGGAGCTGGAGAGATGACTCAGAGGTTAAGAGCACCGGCTGGTCTTGCAGAGGACCTGGGTTCAGGTCCCAGCACCCACATGGCAGCTAACAACCTTCCAGGGAATCTGATGCCTTCTTCTGACCTCCCCAGGCATTGTATGGCATGCATGCACTTACATAAACACAGGCAAAACATTCACACACATAAAATAAAAATAAGCAAACATAAGTAAAATAAAAAAATATGGAAGTAATATTTATTCAGCCTATTTTAAATTGACATTTTTCAAGGGCTGAAGAGATGGCTCAAGGGTTAAGAGCACTAGCTACTCTTACAAAGGACCCACATGGAGGCTAACAACTGTCCACAACTCCGTTTCCAGGAGATCTGATGCCCTTTTCTAACTTTCACAGGCATTGCAAGGCACAGGTACACTTAGCATACAAGCAGGCAATAGACTCATACACATAAAAAATAATAATAAATTTTAAAAGTTTTAAATACTTTATTATTTTTATTTTAGAGACTAGAGGGGAGCTGTTGGACAAAGAGGGGCTAGAGAGATGGCTCAGCAGTTAGAGCACTCGCTATTCTTGCAGAGGACCCGGGTTTGATTCCCAGCACCCACATGGAGACTAACAACCGTCAGTAATCGAGTTCCCAGGGGGATCCAATGCCCTCTTCCACCCTGGGCATATGCAACATTGGATGCAGGCAATACACCCAGACACATAAAATAAAAATAATAAATAAAGTAAAATTTTTTCAGATAGATAGGAGGAGCAAGTGTTGACATATTAGGAAAGTAGATGAAGAAGAGTAAATTAACTACAAAGTAGCAAAGGATAGCAGTGATAGAAAGTACAGTATAAATCAATGAAATAGAAAATCAATCAATTGGACAAATAGTTGTTCTTCAGAAACAAAAAGGTGTCTACCTAAGAGAAAGGGAGAAGACCCACACTGGCATTATCGGAAGCGGAAGACCATCAATGCAGATTCTATAGACAAGAAGAGGGGAAGCAAACTGCTGGGAAAGGGAGGGATGAAAGTTTGTTCCTTGGTTACACGACCATCTGACTAGAGAAATCTGAAAGAATTTACCCCAAACTTACAAGACTGATAAGTAACTGTAGACAGTTTATGGGGTACAAAAAAAAGCATGTCGAATTTGAAATTAAAAATAATGTAATTTACTTTTCCGTCACAGAAAGAGAAATAAAGTATAAATCCAACAAAATATGTAGATCTATATGAATAAAGTTAGAAAACTGATGAACGAAATTGAGGAATTAGATGGAGAGATGTTTATTTCCATGGATGGGAAGACTTAATAGTTTGAGTTTCCCAACTCAATTTACAGATTCAGTGCAATTCCAATTAAAATCTCAGCAAATTCTTCCTGTGACTATTAATAAACTTCTACTAAAGCTTATACAGAAAGACAAAAACAGAAGCTAACACACTATTTTCCAAAACTAAATAACAGTCCTACTTTACACACTATTGACCATACTCCTTGATGGTCCTTCCAAAGAACTGAACACTTGCATCCACACAAACCTGCACGCCTGTTTACAGCCATTTTGTTCATAATTACCAGTCAATAGACTATCTTCCATAAAAGCTCCTCTGAGCACTTGCAGATAATGGAATATCACTGCACACTGAAGAAACGAGTAACCATGCCATCAAGTGATATGGAAGAACACTAAACATGTTTTATGTTTAAGAAGCCAATCTGGAAAGATTACATTCTGTATCATTCCAACTATATGACACTTTGAGAAATGCATACTCTGGGCAGACAGTAGAAATCAGGGGTGTCCAGATCAGAGGATGGGGAGAAACCAGATCAGATGAGGGGCCAGCGTAGAGGATTTTCAGAGCAGAGAAGTTTTGTTTCACACCGTACTTTGATGATGGTGTCCAAACCTATCGCCTGTACAACACCAGGAGGCAAACTTTCCATGACCTGCAGACTTTGGGTGATGATCAGGTACTGTGGAAGGTTCCTCAGTTTCAATGAACACTCTACTCTGTTTGGGGGGGCTCTAGGGATCAAGGATCACACAGGTATGTGAGAACTATGTGTGCCCTACATCCAATGTTCCTAAGAACCTAAAACTGAAATGAAAAATGAAATCTTAGAAAAAACAAGGTGTGGGTAGAAATATTTAGAAAACAAATGGCTGCACTCCAATGCCACCATTTCATCCTAAAGCCCATGATCCTTACCCATAAGTGACCTTTGGCTCATTCATTTCCTAGCAGTGCAACACTTTCAAGCTGTATTGATGTCATCCCTCCTCCTTGCCGAACCACATACTCCTATAACTGATTCACCATACAGCCCTCTCCTGGTTTTTTTTTTTTTTTTTTCGGTCTTTTTTGAGACAGGGTCTCCCAGTAGCCCCAGCTGGCCTGGAACTCACTATGTAGATCAGGCTGGCCTTGAACTCACAGAGATCTGCCTGCCTCTGCCTCCCAAGTGCTGGGATTAAAGGCATGCGCCACCACG